ATGTTGAAATTATGCGTATAGCTGTCAGACAAAGGAAAATTGTTTCATGAGGGCTGAATCGCATTTCTACATATGTGGTCCAAAAAGTTTAAAGCATCCATTTTAAAGATGGATGCCAATAACGGTCCAAATGTTTTTTTGGGAATTTTTTTCGAACTTTGTGACACATCCAAGCTATTAGATTTCACATCAGATGGTTGCAAGAAATTGTGACGTCCTCGCACCAAAAGCAAATGGTCTCATTGTATATAATTTTTTATTTAATGTTGAAATTATGCATATAGCTGTCAGACAAAGGAAAATTGTTTCATGAGGGCTGGATCGCATTTCTACGTATGTGGTCCAAAAAGTTTAAAGCATCCATCTTAAAGATGGATGCCAATAACGGTCAATGGATTACATTGACAGGCATTCCATAGATCTAAGGATAAAAGCTTATCCCGAATTCTAACAAACCTATTTTCCAAAGCCTTACTGGCATCTCCTTTACCACGAGTAGGAAAACAGTCTTGTTATCTCCCAAGACTTTAACCTTTGGAGCAAATGATAGACCCATCCTTTTTTTCCCTAGTCATTAAGACCAAAAATATCATTCGAGAGAGAGGAGAATGAACCTACCATAGGGAAATGAGCTTCCAGGAGTAGACCACCTAATAGGTCATACCATACTGAAACTGCAGGCATCAAGCCACCAACTTCCTCGCTCTCGCCATCACCTGAATCACCAATCCCCATGTTGCGTGCACGTAAATATTATGAAGAAGTAGGGAAAGTTGAGGGAGAGATCTGTGGTCACAGTTGTTGATTCACAAGTACAAGTAGTCTTGTCAATAAAATATGGGATTCTACACAATGGGATAAAATATGGGATTCTACACAATGGGAACTGTGGTCACAGTTGTTGATTCACAATTAAAAGTACTATTGTCAATAAAATATGGGATTGTATACATTGAGACCATTTACTTTTGATACAAGGTGGTCACAATTCCTTACAACCATTTGTTGAGAAATTTGATAGTTTGGATGTATCACAAAGTTCAAGAATTTTTTTTTTGAAGTTTGAGCTTGATCAATGGAATAATTGTACCCACCTAATTTAACATGCAATAGTCAAAATTAATGTGACCATCTTGTATCAAAGATAAATGTTCTTATTCTATACTTTTTCATAAAATATTACACTATGAATCTTATTAACTATTTATAATTAATTATATTATCACCACATAAGTGGAATTATAAAATTATTATTTTAATTTTTAATAATTGTTCCAATTACAAAGATCGCATTTAACTTGGGCATTATTATTGTTATCCTAAATTAACTTCTTCCTGTATAAGTTAAAATGATTCAAAATCCAAAAATCTAAATTTTAAATCAAAATGCAAACCCCATTAAATTTATAATTTTATATTGATATTGTATTTTCCTATCTTCAATAAAAATATTTCTCAAATTTCACAAATGTAAATAATTTATGAATGGTGTACGAACAACTAGTGGAGAGACGAGTGAGTTTTCAGTCACAATATGTCTACATTAAGGGTCAGCATTGAACCCGTACCCTTTTGTCTTAGTTTCGGATGACTTCACTAAGCACCTACAAGATGAGGTACCGTTGTGCATGTTGTTCGCAGATGATAATTTGATCGATGAGATCCGAATCGCCATCAACGCAAAGTTAAACTTTGAAGGGATACGCTAGAATCCAAAGGTTTTAAAATTAGTCGAACTAAGACAGAGTATATGGAGCACAAATTTATTAATAATAGGAGTAGAGGCCAAAAAGTACAAAAAAGATCGCTCTTTCGATATCTTGGGTCGATAAACTAGCAAAATAGAGAAATCGAGGAAGATGTCGTACATAGAATTAGAGTTGGGTGACGAAGTGGAGATGTGCAACTAGAATTTTATATGATCGCTGCATACCAATGAGGCTGAAGGGCTAGTTATATAAGACAACGGTGAAATTAGCTTTACTCTATAGGGCGGAATGTTCGGCAGATAAAACAATATACTCATAGAATTAGTGTAGCGGAGATGAGTATGTTGAGATGGATGAGTGGTACGGCCAGAAAGTATAGAATGCATAATGTATCTATTCGAGAGAATTTAGATGTGGCACCAATAGGTGATAAAATGAGAGAGAGTAGACTTATGTGTTGGCCATGTGTGGGCCTACCAATTACAATACCTGTTAGGAGGTGAAAATTAGTTCAAGTGGAAAGACTGAAAAGGGCAAGGGGTAGGCCCAAAAGAACATGGTTGGGAGTAGTTCGAAAAGGACGTGGTTGGGGACTTATGACCTCACTGAGGATATGACCTTTAATAGAGCAGAATGAAGAACCAGTATTCATGTAATCGACCTCAATTAATTGGAAAAAGGCTAAAATGATGATGATGAAATAATTTATGAATTATAGAAAATAATTTTTAAAACCATTATTTATGAGTGGAAAATATTTAAAAATTTTGTTCTAAAATAATTTGATATTTTTTTCTATGTAATAAAAATCAAAATTGAGGGTATAATATGTAGCTTTCATTCGAATAAATGACAAAGATTGTGGTAGCTAGCCTACTAAGTTTTACTATGTTTAGGGTGATAAAGATTAGAGATTTTTTATTACAAAATGGTTTAGAAAGATATGCTATTCAATTACAAAAGAGTTAGAAATTTAAGATTTCCAATCTAAATATGCAAAACTATAAGGGATAGCTTTTTCTCTTATTTTTCTTTTCAATATTAGTACATTATTACTTTCTAGGCATATATAGAGTGTGCCATGACACACATGGACAGCGACACATGCACACCTCATTGTTAGTCCTAAAGGCACTAACATAAGATTTTACCAAATGTTAACCTCATTGTCATTGAATATCCCGAATCGTATTTTCATCACTTCCATTCATCATCTCTTTAATCTTTAAGCTTTTAGAGGTTACTTTTCTAAATAACTCGGGAAATTGAATTATAAGAGGTTGATCTCCTATCCACTTCTGCTGCCAAATCTAGCCTTTTCCTCCATCACCCACTAGTATTCTCATGTTTCTCGTGAAAATCTCTCGACACGCTACAATTCCTTCCACATTCTTACTTCTTTCGCTACAACCTATTATCTATATCTATACCATTCTCTCACTAAGAAAAACCCTTCATAACTGAGTGTCTTCATTTGCAGATCTCCACTGCCATTTGATTAGAAGTGTGTTGTTGATCACCTTAACCTTTTCACCACCATCC